TTTGATGGAACATGGTCTATGAGGGGGATGTTGGATGCCTCAGGCATCACATGTAGGATAGACCAACTAGATAGTCTTCCTTCCACTCTCACCTTCTCTCTCTCCCCGTCCATCCAATTGAATACTGTTTTACCTGCATACATACTATCATTGTATTTGCATCAAGAGTATATGGATGCATGGCCTGCAGTTGTGGTAGATTTTATTCCCACTTTAGCGCTTGCGGGGCCGTTAGATGATATCTGTAACTCCCAGTCCACAGTCTATACGTGCATATTGCAGCTGATGAGAAAGAAGGTTTGGAAGACTCGATATTTACTCTTGGCTTATGATCACTGCTTTCCGATCCTTAGTTTCTCTGTTTCTACGCAGTCTTTTAACAATTGGCCTTGCATATGACACTTTTCGTCATTCAACTTCTGCTGCGCACTACTCCTATCTTCACGGAACCACGAGCGTCTTGTCTCTCTTTTCTGCTCCTTCCACCTGGTTCATACTTTGGTTTTCTTCTTTGGCATTGTGGTGTGTATTACATGCTCGAGAAAACTTAAGGGAAAAAAGAGCATCGCCAAACCTCCCATTAACCAGCGACACTGTTGTGTGCATTTACGAAGTAACATAAGAACGAGACGAAAAAAAAGGAGTGACCGACGCAGGGATCGAACCTGCAATCTCTTGATTCGTAGTCAAGCGCCTTGCCATTGGGCCAGCCGGCCTTGTTGTTGTGAAGATTTCTCTGGTGGTGCGACATGTGGTGGGACACATCTAGACGCGCCTATCATCGCTTGTACCCGCTTGTCATTCACGTGACTTGATACCTAATACAAAAGTCGATGCTTGTGGTGTCGATATCTTGAGTCGAGTTGAGTAATTCTACTGTCACCTATATCACTGGATTTTATAGTTACGGTCTAGCGCTTTTTGTGGTAAATTGGGTTGGTTGGGTCTTGATCTGGTTACATGTTTCGATCAGCTCGATGGCAATATGAAAATAGGGAAACGAATTTAGTGGCCTTCGAGAAAAATCGAACTGTTGCTGGTATTGGGGAAATTTAGTATTGAGCTAGGAAGGGTACGTATATGGTTTAATGTATTGAATTGAAAAGGCTCGTTGTCAATGGAAATCAAGAAAGGTTGTGTGAGCGCTACATGTGGAAGACGTGGTGCAGTGCGTGTTCGAACAGGAAATTAATGTCAAGATGGTTCCTATGGATACCTAAATTCGGGATCCTGTTGGTGCAACCCGAGAGGAACGTGGGAACAAAAGTAATGATCGAAATGATAGCAGCAGGTGAGTCCAGCGACACATTAGACCTGCGTGGGAACCCCGATTGAGCCCTAGATATCACACAAAATCAGATGAGACGCATACACGATCTTCTTTCAATGGTCTACAGCCCCATGTAGCGTGGCAGAAGAATGCTTGAGGGAAATTTCGTACAACGTGCAGTTGTGAAAGAACCCCATTTTAGCTTAAGGGTAGGTAAGAAATCCGAGCTATTCTGCCACACTACTACATGAACTGGGATTAACAAAAGACCAATGATTATGTACAGTGGTCCGGAAAGATTCAGCCATTTTCGGACATAGCCTTAGGAAAAGGCAAGCAGCAAGTTCAATGTGCATGACCGATTTCTTCCAAGGCACATTTTCTCCACGGAGCCTGGTAGTCACCAAGGAGGAAATCCCAACTGTATGAATCTGGAATATCCGATAGCTTCAGATATTGCACATCAGCATCGAACCAGTAAGGGCAGGACCAACAGGAAGACCACCCAGATACAATCCCTAACTCCAAGCAGAGATCCCGGCTGTCGGGCATGACTAGCGTGCAAACGGACCGAGTTTCCTAGACAGGCAATCGACTAGAACGGACCCATCTACTAGAAGGTAGGTGGAATACCATGCTTACATATTAGAACCGTCTAGTGCTAATTAACTACATCAAATGTGCATTAGCGTGCCTACATAAGATGCAGAGCTCTGAGATACCCCCGAACTGACAGCCATTGACAGATATATCTGATGCCTAGCATCTCAAATACTCCCATCTGCTCTTCTTCGTGGCATTGCACATGTATAGCACGCACCACTTAGTGGCCTAGGTCATGTGTGTTTTGTGCGAATGGACCAACTGAGAATCCAGCTGATATATTTATGTGCTGTTTGCTTCCTTGCAGAACTATGATGGACAGGGGAGGATTGTGACACACAGATGAAGATGTGGCTTGATGCCATGGATATATATAATTCTCAGGAACACAAAAACGGTTACAGCCGTGCCGGGTGTATCATTGCTAGTTGGGGTTGGATTCTAAATAGACAAGCATCCGGTTGATGCCTGGTTGATACAGAGTACTCGATAGCGGCAGGCGACATACAACACCGCCATCACGTCCATAGATGAATTTCCCGAGGCTAAACATACCACCCTTCATAAGCAGCATCGAACCTGTTTCTGGGCGGCACCCAAAACCTCACATCTCTATGAACCCATAAGCACACCCACGGCTCGCGACCCCATACACTTGCGTACAAGATTGGAACAATGATCTGTAAATGGTATATTCTTACGCCGTGGTTAGTATATTCAAGAAGACAAGCGGCAGTCTCGTCCACCGAATACATCGCAGTTCTGCAATCAATTAACCCCCGGGCGAAGACCCAACAACGCGATACAAATGTCAAAAATGCCATCCCGGCCAGACTAAGCGGCGCAATTGGTTATTAGTACATGACAAAGAATCGAACGGTGGGTCTCTTGATCATTTTATCTGGAAAATAAGGAAAATAATCTGACAAGATTCAATAGTGTGTATAAGAAGTTTGGACGGGATCCAACCGAGATCAGGGATCACCAGTCATTAGCGAGAGGAGCAAAAATTTGAATATTCTTTTTTTTTAAAAAAAAAAGAATTCGAAATAAAAAAAAAATAGTCTGACACGAGCCAAGGCGGGTCGAGGGTTTCGGTTTCGTTTTCGGTTTCAACTTTCACTTCTACGCGACTGAAATCCAACGAGGTCAGACCACAACATATATTTATTCTCCTGGTCCGTATATACCGTAATCCGATTAAAGTACTCCCCAAATGTACATTGAGTTAAACAGAAAACTCTCCGGATTCGTTCTAGTAGTTCTCCGGCATAGATGGGATACGGTGAGACTCCAACCTCACACGATCCTACCCCATCGATCTACGCACGATCATCACAACCCAAATCCTGACATGAGACAGCTCACAAATCCCGCAGTTGACACCTCCGATGGCAGAATCAAGCCCACTCCCCAGACTCCGTATACTCCGTATACTCCCACCTTACCAAGCAGGGACGTTATTGCGATCGACACACACGTCCCCCAATCGAGGGCTAAACGTTCCTGACAGCGCAGAAAGGAGGACACTCATATACGTAGTATCCGACATTGATGTGCGACGCACGGAGGAACAGAGCACATGCACGCTACTAATCTATGTTGTAACCTGACTCCAAACGTGCCTATGGACTTGCATTACAACGAAGTGTCAGACGCTGATTTCACCGCCATATGATGCGTCGGATGCACGTCTCTAGATCCCGAATGGCTTACTCCGTAGTGGGGGGTGCCCGATCGGAATTTCATCAGCGAGGAAACCAAGGGTGGGATCGTGATCGGAAAGCGTAGGGCGCAGAACTGGGGTTTGGTTGGGGGTTTGTCTTGGACCAGTTGACAAGTGACAGAGATCAAGCCAGGGTTGTGAAGGCACCCAACCGTAA